AAAAAAAAAAAGGAGGGTCCCCCCCCCCCCCCCCCCCCCTTCCCCACTGAAAATAGTCTCAACTGTGATATTTACATTTGAATGGGTGGCGCTATTTACATATGAATAAGGCACGGCTCATTCTACCAAAAAAATGTTCACGTGTCGCTAGAGTGTTCGGGTTTCGCTTGCCGAAAAGGTGGCAACCCTAGATCCAAGATTATCGCTATCAGGCCGGTGGTCCAGAGAATCTGTCTGAAGTTCATCTGAAATCCGAGTATAACTAGACAGGAAGTGGCTGAAAGCCTGGAGAAGATCAATAACACGGAGATGCAGTAAAGGATTAAGTGAACAGTATTTTATAATGGAAAACAATGTCAATTGTTATTGTATCATGTACAGTTCTTTAGTTAACAAAAAGCTGTCAAGTTAAGGTTTAGATCAACTTTAATACTATAGCCTAATTAAAGATATAATGCTGTCTAGCAACAACTGCACATACCATTCATGATAAATGTCATCTACATCTCGGCACATTTCTGTTAGTAATGATAATAAAATGATGCACATTTGGTGCCTATGATGTAGCATTAACTTAATTATGTATGTACAATTTTATATACACAGAACGCTGATACTATTAAAAGTAACTATACAGCTAGAAGACACAGTTGATATTTATAAGCTGTTAGTTGAGGCATTTGTTCAGTATGAGTTTAGTGCACTGGTACTCTTTACAATTGTCAGACAGGATCACCAGCTTAGTGAAAACAATAACTCAAAACCACAATTTCTGCCCAATTTTATTTAAAATGTGAAGAAAACTTTAAGGCAAAGTAATCTAGACCATCACTTCGGCATATGCAGCTATTATCACAGTGCCTACGGTTACACAGCAGTTTCTCAATTATATTGTTCCCCTGTGGATAGTACTTGTGCAGTATGTGGGTCATGACATAAGTGAGGACCTTGTTTTCTCCCTGTAAAGGACCACAGGGCTTGTTGAGCTAAATTAAATATTTGAAAACAGACATTATTGCAACAATATCTTTAAGATGAACTATTGTTTAAATGGCAAATGTATATTAAAAGACATTATATAAGTAGACAGTGTCAGTTTGCCTGTATATGCCTGTCAGTAGACTCTTGATTATGTGCTTCACCACATAGTCAAGCAGATAGTAATAATGTATGTGTTGAGCTTTGTCAGTCAGTGGTGGGAATACTCATGGGGACACTCGACAAGATTAAGGATTCTCCTGCTTGTGACAGTAAACTCAGGAGCAAATGTAAAATTTTTCAAAAAACAAAGCTAAGCAGTATGTTTTTTTATAATCATCATTAGTATTATCATTAGCATTCTGACATGCTGCACATTTCAAACCACACTGTATGTCGTTAGAATAAGTTTCCTTTAAAAAGTTTGTGTAAGAGATATGGTCTAACCAAAGAAGCATTGCTTTGAGTTGTTGAAACAGATACAAGGTGATTTGTGATTGGACGGTGCAAATGACTGGACATCTATGCTCTTCACTCTTTCTTCTGGATTTAATTCAAATCTGAGCTACACATAAATGTTACATGCAGGTCAGACACACGGGTACAATGTGACTGCCAAAAGACCTTACCATAAAGAAAAATGCCTGAGCATGTATGTTTATTCCTATTGTGGAAGGAGAAGTACTGACAGACACTTCTGCTACCAACTTTCTTTCGGTTAAACAATAGCAATGGAAAATTAAATGAAACATGATTGTTTATCAAACCAAAGTTGCAGTATCCGTTCACATTATCTTATGCCTCTGTATCCTTTAGTGAGGCTCAATTGTTTCAGTTTCCTTTGGTTTTATGATTGCTGCAGTGAAAGCTTGGACCTGATCTCTTATTGACAATTGCTTTTGATTTTCCTCCAAGGTGTCCATGTCTTCGGACTTTGCTCTACAGCTCTCATTACCGATATTATCCAGCTCTCCACTGGATACCAGACCCCTTATTTCCTGACAGTCTGTAAACCCAACTACACATCCTTAAATGTGTCCTGCAAAGAAAATCCATATGTGCTGGAAGACATTTGCTCAGGGCAAGATCTTGCTGTCATTAATGCTGGCAGGTAAAGTCTGAATATATATGTTGTGGCATTTTTGTACATGAATAATCCCAGTGAATGTCTTTTATTTTGAGATATGTGGTGGGACCTTATTAGAAATGTCTTATACATTATACCCCGCTATGACCCTATGACTAAACAGAAAAATATCAGAGGACACTTAAAAAGGGGATGGCTGTATACCTAATGTTGCTGTTAATAAGAACCTAATATTCTATTTGTTTGTGAAAAATTATAACACCACTATACCTGTAACATGATATCCACATAGGACAATTAGAGAGAATACAATAATTTGATGTAACAATATGACCACATCAATTATACAATGACACATAGATTGCTACCACTGGGAGGGATGCCAAAGGACATACCTTCTGTTGTCTTAACCTGAGTGTGAGATCATCGTAAGTGTATTGTGAGACAGATTGGGAAGGGGGAGGTCATAGTAATCTTTGCTCTGCACTTGATAATCTAGAACTAACTTTGTTAGAAAGTTTAAAGTTTTGTTCCCTGTTTTTAATTCTTACTCTACCTCTTACTATAATTGCTTTGCCTGATTTTACTTCAGTCTTAATTTTTTAAAGAGACACTGTCACCTTGCCATTGCAGAGCATAATGACAGTGTCACTGCACTGCCCCTCTGACCCCCTTATACTGACCTTGCCTGTGCTTTGGCCATGCTACTTCCTCTGTCACACCCTGCCACACTACAAATGCTTCCAAGTATGGAGAAACAAGTTATCTGTGACAGTGCTCAGGCCAAGTAACAAATCACTAGGCCTGCCACTGCTGATTTCAGCAGCATGCATGTGAAATAGACATGTGCGATTCGTTTCGTTACGAATCGAAATTCGTACGAATTTTCCTGAAATTCGTAGATTCGTAAGCATACGAAATCCGAATGGCAGTTTCCGAATTTATGTCCGAAATACGAAATTCCGTTAACGAATTTCGGATCCGAATTTATTTGAAACAGGAACTAATATTACCCCTGTAAAATGAGGTTGAACAACATGACAAGATTTTTTTTTAAATCCGAAATACGGATCCGCTGCTGCTGAGGGTTGCATTACAATACAATGCACACACAGGCAGGAAATACGCAATTCCGTTGACGTATTTTCGTTCAGTTACGAACATTCGTTATATTGAAGTTAAAAAGCGAAGTACATTTATATTGGAGTTGATGCTGATGGTAGTTTTTTTTAATACGAAATACGAAATTCGGATACGGAATCCGTTAACGGAATTCACATTTCGTTTTGGTTGACCAATCAGAGGTTCTCTTCTGCTGCTGAGAGTTGCATTACAATATACAGGTAGGAAATACGAAATTCCGTTGACGTATTTTCGTTCCGTTACGAACATTCGTTATATTGAAGTTAAAAAGCAAAGTACATTTATATTGGAGTTGATGGTAGTTTTTTTTAATACAAAATACGAAATTCGGATACGGAATCCGTTAACGGAATTCGTATTTCATTTTGGTTGACCAATCAGAGGTTCTCTTCTGCTGCTAAGAGTTGTATTACAATATACAGGCAGGAAATACGAAATTCCGTGGACGTATTTTCGTTCCGTTACGAACATTCGTTATATTGAAGTTAAAAAGCAAAGTACATTTATATTGGAGTTACTTGATGGTAGTTTTTGTTTAATACGAAATACCAAACTCGGATACGGAATCCGTTAACGGAATTCGTATTTCTTTTTGGTTGACCAATCAGAGGTTCTCTAATCTCTTCTTCTGCTGAGAGTTGCATTACAATATACAGGCAGGAAATACGAAATTCCGTATATTGGAGTTGATGGTAGTTTTTTTTTAAGTCCGAAATACGGAATTCGTTAACGGAATTCGTATTTCGGATACAAAAACAACTACCACATAGACTCCAATATTAACAAAGGTATTTTTGCTTTTTAACTTCATCATAACGAATGTTCGTAAAGTTACGAAAACGTGGCGAAACTAACGAAAATCCGTATTTCGTACGAATCCGAATTGTGTTCCGGATACGAAATACGAAATAATGGATATTACAGAACGAAACGAAACGGAATACATTTTTTGACGGCGCACAAGTCTAATGTGAAAGGTGACAGTGTATCTGTAAGGTGATTTGAATAGATTGCATATTAGTTACTGTATGTTAAGTTGGATGAAGTTATGTTATGGTTGTTTTACATACAGGCCAACTCTGTATTACATATTAATGATACAGTATATCGATAAATGGTGAGACCTTTCTAGTCCGTGCTTGAGAATGGAGGAATTAGGTATCCTTTGCTAGCCCTTTTGTGATTCGTAGGTGATCTGCCAGGGGACATTTTTAGAAGCAAGAGCTTTAAAGGCAATTATTAGTTAAATAAAGAACATAAAACCTAATTTTTAATTGTGTAGGGCAGGGGCGCCCACTATTTTTCTTCTGGAGATCTACTTTTCAAATGACGAGCTCATTGAGATCTACCAACGAAAAAACACCTGCATTCAGGGGCGGGAGGGGGCGTAGGCTGCGCAAGCAGGCCCCTCGCCCACAGTGCGATCGCCTGCATTAGTGCCTGTGTTCCAGTCCAGTGCGAGCCGCAAAAATGCTGCGAGCACTATTTTTGCAGATCGCACTGGACCGCAATGCAGGCACTAATGTGCCTGCGTTCCGAGTGCAGGCGATCGCACTGTGGGCGATGCCATTGACTTCAATACAGTTCCACACCCCCTCCCGCACCTGAACACAGGGAGTCGGCCTGCTTACATTCCAGTGCATT